GGGTGGGCGCGGGCGGAGGCGCCGTGGCAGAGGCCCAGGCGGCCAGGCGGCGGCCGCGGCGGCGCGGTGTGGTGCGGAGCGGAGGGGCGAGGAAGGAAGGGACAGAGAGAGGATGCTGTTGCTGCCTCCGCACGCTCTAGCCTAGCGGGATGTGCCGTGCTGTTTGTTCTCCTCGCCATCGAAGTACAAGGAGGCGGACGAGAGGGAGAAAGGGAGAGGGACGGGGCAGGGAAAGGGCAGCGCTGGAGGAAGTAAGCCGAATATTCATATCATACTAATAGATAGTAGAAATTAACCTAAAAATATAAATATTGGTTTTGTGTAATCAACACGTACGATCAATACTTCCAATCTATACTCACAAATCGTTACATTCAAAGGTGGGAAATAGGTTTTAAAATATTTTTAACATAAACTAATTCAACGGTTTCACTATTCAGAACCAATAAATCAATTCAATTTTTCAGTTATGATGTCTTACGTATTGGTATCTAAAGGCCAGGAAACTCTGCCTAATTTAAGTGCTTAATAAAATCGATAACAGCTCCATGTAATGAACTTATTACATATTTGATGTCATGCTGTGAATATTCTTGTTGAGACAGGTGGATAAATGATGTCTCAATGGCGTTATGTTAATGAAAAAACAGATGTGTGGTATAGGAAGCCTACACTCCGAAGTCGAGAAATTGAGTGGAATATGTGCTGAAAATTTGAAAGAAGCGGATAAAGATAGTTGACAATACTCAGGGTATCAATTTTCATAAGACCATAAAAATAAAATGAATGACAACTATGAATTTGCAAATTAAAGAAGGAAACATGTAAAGAAAAGAAAAAAAAGCACTTTGCTGTAAGACATACATTATATCGGCAAGAATACACCGATTCTTCTAAACATTTTTCCCCACAATTAATTTTTCTTGCTACTACTGGCTTACTGCTTCTGCACTGTGAATACTGTGCAAATACTCGATTACAAGGTACACTTTAAATGTTAATGAATGTGAAGCATTGTGCATAAATGAAGCAAGTAAGCAATTCATTAATCTGTACCACCCACGTTCAGATGTTTCCATTTATACTATTGAAACAGAATTTTACCAGCAAACGATTTAAAGTTATTAAACATTTTTTTCTAGTATGACTTCTTGAGTGAACTGAATGCGTGATTTATGATGAGACTTCTTCCAACGTTCCAACATTAGAACGTGTATAGTACAGGTCACACCACTTCGATTGAAAAACATTTGTTACAATAGAACATCGGCAACTGGTTTCACGTTCTTGATATTTCAAGCCGCTTAAAACATACTCGGCAGCCCCTCATAGTCACATAAGTTTCAAAGGAGCATTTCCAAACGTCAATGTGTGGTATCTTGTACCCATTCGCCGATGTTTCCATCGACGCTGTTCCGGTGATTCACAACAACAGAACGTGGTTAACGTCCTGTCTACAGCGACGAGCGAGAGGCGTCGCGCAAAATAGTTGCGGAGTGCGGCTCCAGCCACTGCAGCGGCGGCGCGGCGCGGCACACCGCACCGCAACCTACATTTCCGCCGCCCGCCGCGCGTCTAATTATAAACGCCACAATTTGGCACAATAAACTTGTACCACCATATAAAAGTTTGTATAATTGTTCATTAAAGTTTAATTTCCAAATATGGCCCACACTGTAATGTTGAGTTAGTATGAAACACAACACCACTGGACATTCCTCGTGCATTACGTGCTGAAGCATGTTAATGAGACAGTTGCGCAAAAGTATGTTCCAGCGTTCTGTATGTATGTATGTGGGGGGGCGTGGGCGCCGCGCCGCCGCGGGCGCTTGCGTTCGCCGGGCTGCCCATCCGGCCCATGCGCGGCGCCCGCATCACCCTCCCCTCGACCCGTTCCCCTATTATCATTTCAGGCGCCTGCAGCCGCGAAAACTCGCGCGCCGCGCCTCCCTGGCTCGCCTCGCGTCGGAAGCTAATGGCAACGGTTCTCCGTCGTGCGAAACGCCTCTAAAAGCGAGCAAAAATGCTATGAAACGAACTAAAATGAGTATAACGAAACGAAATGCAGAAGAAACTTGTTTGCAGCAGCAAAAGTGTTGCTGGACAAAAAACCGCCACAAAATAGAAAAGAAAAAAGAAAAAAAAAAAAGTGAAAAGGAACGCCGTTCTGCTGGAGAACAAATATATATTCTCGTAATACGCGCAAACAAATGAACAAAAAAACGAATCTTCCAATATTGCATTATATAGTGTCCATATTAACATAAAATACAGTTCAAAGTGAAACAATCTTCACTACCAAGAATATACCCTATAAAACAAAGTTGCGTTCCAAACCCCAACACGTAAATGCTCTCTTCCTTGGAAGCCCAGCTATCGCATGAAGTCCAGGCTGTTTCATTAACAATGCCGTACTGATATGAGATATCAGACTGTGGGCGCGTATCTGAATAGCGGTTAATGCTATCAAATATTAGTATTTTTCGTCAAAATCGAACTGTTTACACTGACTGCGAGCTTATGTCCATTGTCTCCCTATTACAAGTGCTACAATTGCTCCTAAAGAATACGTTCCTCAACATATAGCTTAATTGGCGTAAGCAATTTTGTCTTACATCATACATTGTCTCAATTTTACTTGATTTGGAAACTTTAACTAACTTTAACTAACAGCCCAATCCACTCCACATGCATCTGAGAATTTCTCAATCCAGTCGACTCGACCTTTAAAGCGTTCGATTGTTTTATTTAGGTTCACAAATGCTCCACGTTGTACAGATGACGCGATAAGAAAACTCCCCTTACCGTTCAAGAATTTTATTGCACAGAAGTTACACAACAATACTATTAAAACAAAATAAACATTACACCTCACATTGTATATTCTATTTACTATAATTTTGATTATAATTGAGGAAAAGGCTTCAGTTTTTGTAAACATGTTTTAGTTGGTTGAATTTGTTGTCTTGTAGGACGGCAAATACTGGACAGTTAGCGTCATGCTGTGCTTCTATGAAAGTTTTAAATATGATGGACAACGATAATTTCTCACCTCCATTAGTTAGTTAGACCCTTTGTTTCTTGTTGAGCATGACACACGTCCAAGACCACCAGCGTCCACTGTCGCACTCAGCCTCCTGCTGTTAAGTCTCGCGTCTTCATTCCCAGGGTACTCGTGTTCAAGTAGTGCTGAATTTACTGCTTCTTCCCCATTACCGAGGCTATTATGAGCCAAGCGTCCTGCTGCTGCTGCAAGCGTCGAGCTCCTGTTTGAACTTGAAAATTTCGGGCATTTGTACCTAGTCGTGAGGCCAGACAGGGGTTGTATGGGAGAGGGAAGACTTCGTGAGAGGCTGTCCAATGGGACGCCGGCGCGGCTGCGTTCCCCGGCTACCTTGTGGCGCGGGAGTCGTGTACAAATCCGCTTGTATGCGGCGGCGCGGCGAAGGAGACGGAGATGGTGTAGTGACGGGACCAGCAAACTCTCGTGCGTTGACGACCATCTTGTGTGTGCCTCACGCTGCCGCCGCCCGTCCTGCCGCCCAGCGCCTTTCTTGCCCGACGCCACCACCCGCCACGTCAGCCACCACCGCCACCGCCCACCAACTACACCACCAAAACGCCCACCAACGCCACCAACCAACTCCACCACCAACGCCACCACCACCGCCACCACCAACGCCCCGCCGCCACTACCGCCACCTCCGGCGCCGCCCACTACTACCAACCACTACCACTACCACACGGAACGCCACAACCCTGCCACCACCGCCGCCCACCAATAGCCACAAACCTCCCACCACCACAATCCATGACCACAACCATATCCACGACCACCATCATCACCACTTACCGCACTCTCATCATTTCCACTCCGCCGCCGCCGCCGCCACCACTGCCACCTCCACAACCGTGAATGAATTCAGCTTCTACTTTCAGTTCGAGGCCGTTCCCCTTGTTTCTGAGGGAGCGTTATGTGAATGGCTTTCTGACCTGCCTCTTCCCTATCCCTAACATCCACTAGTTGTTGAATGTTACACCTTAAACTGAAAATATTATTGAAAGGAAAGGATTACTGTAAGGTCACGTGCAACTCGAATTGAAAGTTTTGGACTTCATATTTATTCCGTAAATAACTTATGCTTTCTTCGAAAAAATGTCTTTTGACTGAATGTGCCGAAGAAAGCGATAGTTGCAAAAGAGAATCATTTACTGTAATACAGTAAAAATAGTAATAAAATAAGCCAGCATGCTATCTGCAAGAACGATTGTCCAGTGCTTGAAAATTAGATTTGTGCTCCGAAGTAATGTAGTAACAAATTATTTTTCAGTATTGTGAACACTGAGTAGTGTGTAAAACAATACCATTGTATGACCAATTTCTATTCAAAATGACCTACATATTATTTAAGTGCATGGATTTCCAGATCATGATTTATTCCATTTTTAGGAGTTCCTCTTGCCTGGGAGGTTTGTCAATATTACTTTTATCTCAGAACATTTAGCTTTGAATTAAAACAGATACCGACCAAGAAGTGGCCAGAGATATATCTTTTATTCGGCAAAATAAGTTGTCAAGCCGTTCTTGTCTCATTCAGGATAGAGAATGTTGTTGCATGAAGTCCGCCGACGTCGATAATGGACATGTTATAAATTTCTAAC